GAAAACGGAGATGCCTGGCAAGTTGACCCTTTGATTAGAAAACACAGCCATCCAGGACCTCACAGAACACTGTTTCTTGGCTGACTGATGCTTGACTGTCTGCAACTCTCTCTCTTTCCCTCCTGTCCACTTTGTCAGACCCCCAGGAGAGTTGACTGGAAGCTTCTCTTTCTGTAGAAAAATTACTTATGTCCTCTTTTTCGCTTTCTGCTCCATTCCACAGCAGAGTGCAAGAACCAGCCTGGACCACAGCAGGCTAAAGTCAACTAGCTGCAGACCATCACATCATGTCACTCGTGGCTCAAGCTGGCCAGGACCTAACCTCTCAGTACCATTTGCCTTATAAATGTTAGCAAGTGGGCTTGTATTTCTTTTATGTTGGCTATGAAAAAATTCCCCCCTCTCCCTGCCACTGGTTTATATTCATTTCTGGCTCCTGGTTTGATTCTTCTTGGGATTGTCTCTTTCATGGTTCCGTGTATCTCTTGTACTGTTTGCTACCCATGGAGACTTGGTGGATTCTTTCAGTTTGTATATCCTCTTTCTGGTGGTTTGGTTTGTTCGCTAATAAAGCTCAGTTATATTCACGAGTTTTGTGATGCTTCTACTTACTGCTGATGGCTCTCTATCCCAACTGCCGCTGCACACGTCACTTAGTTCGGCTGTGCCCATTCAAAGAGCAGTATTTGCCTAGTGATGCCACACAGTTACCACGTTAATTCCTGTTCTAAGTATGAGGGAAAAACAGGGGCATCTCAGATACTACTGTTAGCAAATGCTGGCTTCATGAGAGAGTCTGTCTTGCTTAGGACAAGTCATCTTACCTCTTTGCAAACATTTCAGTCTTTCCAGTGTTTTCTCAGAGCCTTCCTTCTGGTTCGTGACTAGAAACAGTCGGGGGATGCTACTGACATACTTGTTATCTCTTTGGGACAAGGCATGAGAGGAGCATAAGATGGTGGCCATGAGTTATTCCGCTCCAGGCTGGGGCTGTTGGTTACGGCCTGGCTTTCCCCGTATCCATGCGCCGATCACACCCACTGCACTTGCTACATGCTGTTTCCAAGGCTAGGATTGTTCCGGAAAAGGCGGCTTTCACAATCGTACCCTCTGGGGCCAGCTCGAACCTTTGGGCCCAGCCCAGAGTGAGGGCCATCCTGCGGCAGAAGGGAATTGTAGCTCAGAGATTCCTCCCTGGCCTCTGTCTTGCTCCGGGAAGATGTGGGGAGTGACCCATCTTCAGTGTCTGTATGGGGAGCAGAACTGGCCCTTCAGTCATTTTGTCTCCCTTTCAATTGCCTCCTTCATGTTGCAACCGCCCAGCATCCTAAAACTGCCCAGGGCTCGCGTGTGTGTGTTTGTGTGTGTTTATTTAGGCATTAGCCTTTGATGTCCTACAGAAACCTCCATTTGCAGATGGGCTCACATTGTATTATGCCCTTCGGCTGCCTGTGATCCAGCCATGTGCCCATTCAAATGGACGACCAGCGTATTCCATGAAAAAAGACCTGTCTGTTTTTAACCCCAGTTCTAGCTCCAAGGTACACTGTGGAACTGGCCTGCGGACTAGGATCCACCGTCTTGCTGGTGGTGATCCTGATCGTCGTCTACCACGTTTATTGGCTCGAAATGGTTCTCTTCTACCGGGCTCACTTTGGGACCGACGAAGCCATTCCCGGTAAGGGGTTCACAGAGTTACAGGGCCTGCTTCTTGCTGCCAGTCCCTTTGGTTCTGGAGATAACTTTGTGTCAGGCCATTTCTACCCCTCCAGAAGCAGGGTATCACTGACCCTAAACGTCCTTAACTGTTTTCCCTTTTCGGGGTGAACGGAGTGCTTGCGAGAAGAGCCAGAGGCAGGGTCTAGGAGGGTATCCTTGCAGTAGGTGCGGCATGGCCATGATAGTGTAAGCTCTCCACACATTGCTTCATGGGACCGTCTCGAGGGACAGGGCTATGTTGTCCGGTCTCTGGGCTCTCTGCTAAGGGTGTGGAAAGAATGGTCTTCTGTCT